AGTAAAATTTTATTTAAATGGGCCACTAGAATTTCTGTCAAGGTTTACATTTCAACATTTGAATATGTGGCCTTCCTTGGATCTTTCTTTCTGGGACTCAGTTTTCTAATTTGTAAAACAAAATGACTGGAAAGTTGATCAGTTTTAAATTATTTATTTTTTAAGTATCAGAATCCTTTTACAATCTAAAGTGAAACTGTAAATTAAATGAAATCATAAGCGAAGCTAATGTATTAAGTTGATGAAAGAGAACTGCTGTCATTAGTAGAGTGTAAGGCCTGGGAGACAAGGGCCGCCTTTCCCACAGATGGGGTCTGGCAGCCCCAGGGAGCCCTGGGGGTGTCACAAAATGAAGCTGACAATCTGTGAGATGAGATCTTGCCTATGATTTCTCTGGTCTTGGGATTCCTAACTTCCAGAATAGTTCAGGTACTAAATTAAATTATAAATATATCAACATTTGTGAATTTCTTTTGACTAAAGTTTTTGCTCTAGTCTTTATTAGAGTGAATAGGAGATGAACATTGGAGCCAGAAAGCTGAAATTCTGATCTACACTTCATTTACTAGTAGTATGAACTTGTGCAAGTAAGTTAACTGCTGTTGACAGAGTCCCTTCATCTGTATACAGGGATAATTATATTTCCTACAACTAGGGTGGCTGTGGGGATTAATTTCAACTATTTACATTTTAAACATATAGAACATTAACTAACACATCTATGTACAAATCCAATAAAGTTTAGCTATTATTTTTTTCCTTTCATACATAAATTAGATATTTAATAAGACAAATACTCACTGAAATAGTTGAGAATGTCAACACATTTACTTGTTAGTGTAAGCACAAAGGTAAATTATACGGTTATGACTTGGGACACGGCTGTTGGGATTAACAGCATTGGTGTCACAAAAATCACCATTCTTGATCTACTACATCAGCACTTTAAATGTTATAATTCAATGTTTTTATATTCCAAATATTGTATACATCTAGGGAACAAATATTATGAAGGTGAATATTATGTTTAGTAATCATTTTGTGCATAATCTAAGAATAAAAACTGCTATTAGTATAAACAAATGCAAAAACAGTTTCTCTCCTAGCTGAATTTTGCCTTTTTTGTATTTCATTAAGTAAGGGGTAGGGAGATAAAGCTGCAGAAGAAGGTACGTGCAAGCCTGTGCAAAATCTCACACACCTGTTGAGACTTTCAGTTTTTATTCTAAGAGTAATAGGAACCACTGAAAACAAGAGTGATGTTGTGATCAGATTGCTTTTGAAACTTGTGCTCTAATTGTGATAAGTAAAACTGAAGGGGCAAATATCAAATTAGGGGAATCCTTAGGTTGCTAGCTATTCTTTGGTGGGGGTGAAGGGCAACCAAGAGTGCTGCCACATTTCTAGATACAATAGTAGGGAGTGGGTCATCACACTATCCCATGAGACCAAGGATTTCCCAAAAGACAGATTCCAACTTTACCCAGGACAATTGTGTACTGTGGGAATAGCTTTCAGCTCTTCGAGCTGCACAAATGCAATACAAAGTACATTTCCCCCCCTTTTTAGGAGGGCAGCTCCTTCAGGATGCTTAGCATACAGTTTTCTCTTCTGGCACTTTAAGAACTGGCCATGCAGCACATTGTCATCAAGGCCAATATGAATGTCAAGTTGTCAGTCCATTGCAAGTAAAAAAAGTGTCCCGCTCACTGTAAACCCCAAAGATAAATCATGTTGTAATCGCATTTACAAATCCTGAAAGAAATGCCTCTTTTGTTTTCAATATTATTGCAAAATAAAGTAAAATACATCAACATGTAAATATAAGATGGTTTTGATGGTTCAATAAATACATGATGGTTTGATTTACTTACATATTGTGAAATGATTACCAAAATATGTTTAGTTAACATCCATTATCTCACATAGATACAAAAAAGGAAGCAAACAAAAAATGCTCCTTCTGATGAGAACTCTTAGGATCTCCACTCTTTACAACTTTCCTTTATATATTACAACAGTGCCAACTATAGTTGTCACGTTGTACATCAAATCCCTGTAACCAGTCTCTCATGGTGGTTACTGCTTGGGTGTTCTATTCAAGAACAACATGTGGTTGTCATTAAATAGTTTTATTTTCTTCTGACAAGTAGAGGAGATGGATTGACATCCAAAGCTCTGTCTCTTGTACAGAGGCTTAGCCATTGCTTATATACAACACTTGGTTATGTAATTACACGTTGCTTCAGAGTTTGCACATTAACAATGCATGCTATTACATACGTCACATGTTCAGAAAATGGCAGGGATTTCTTTCTCTGGGTGGGAATTTTACTATTGTAATTACGGTAGATCATGCTGAGGACACTGGAAAGACTATACTGCATAGACTCAGCTTCTTAGTTCTGTTTGTATTTCTTCTTTGCAGTTGGCTACAAGCTCATCTGGCTGCAGCTGCGTCTACAAAAATACTGTGCTCCATTTTAGCATTTAACAAGAATAGCATTTAGAAAGAACTGCCCCCAGACCTTGAGACACTTTTCCTACCTACCTAACATCCCCAATATTTATTTATTCTACCATTGGAAGTTCTTACCCCTTCACCACCTACTTCCTATTTCCCTCCGAAACCCTACTTCTGGTAACCACAAATCTGATCCCCTTTTCTATGAATTTGTTGGCTTTTTAAAAGATTGCATATATAAGTGAGATCACATAGTATTTGTCTTTATCTGTATGACTTATTTCACTTAGCGTAATGTCTTTGAGTTTTATCTATGTTATTGCACATGGTGGGATTTCCTTTGTTTAATGGCTGAATAATACCCCATTGTATGTATACCAGAACCTCTTTACCCATTCATCTATGATGAATGCTTAAGTTACAAGATGTTGGGATCAAGGTCATGAGTGTTTTAAGAAATATACCTGAATATCTAGTATTATATAGTCATAAAATTTTCGAGGATGAGAGCTAAATGAAGACATTTTAGGTAAACTGAGAGTGCTTGTGAATAATAGCATTATTTTAAAGAAATTTCTAAAGTTTACGCTTCTTAAAAAAAGAAAGGATCTTCAAAAAATGGCTGAGATCCAAAAAAGAATACAAAATAGAAATTTAAAAACCTGGTGAATATGTAGGTAATATTAAAGTATATTCTGTATTAAATACTAATGTTTAGATGTGGCACTTAATAAAAATTATATAATTAAAAATTACCTACCAGTGGAATATCATTTGGGAAAATGGTTTTTGAAAGTTTTATAAATTTGTATATACCTGAGTTGAGGGTTTGGCTAATCTGTTAATTTCAGGTTTTTAAAACAATAAATGAAATAATATCAAAAGTAATTAGAAAAAATTAAAATACAGTTGAAAATTATAAGTTAGAAAGACCATAAGGATGGATATCACAAAATCAACAAATAATTATTTACTTTATATTTTTTAAAATATTTTATTTGTTTATCTTTAGAGAGGAAGAGAAGAAGAAAGGGAAAGAAACATCAATGTATGGTTGCTTCTTGTGAGTCCCCTGCTGGGAACTGGCCTGCAACCCAGGCATGTGCCCTGACTGGGAACTGTGATCGTGTGGTTCACAGGCCCATGCTCAATCCACTGAGCTACACCAGCCAGAGCACAAAACCAACAAATAATCATTTAAATAAACAATAAGAAAAAAGTAAAAAATTAACAGCTAATTTGAAGAAAAATGTGTAAATATTCTAAGATAAAAATCAATTTATGAATAGAATGGAAGGGAGAGAGAGAGAGACAAACAGCAGCTGGTCGTCTTTTGTTCCCACTCGGACTGAGGATCCAACCCACAGCTTAGGCATGTGCCGACCAGGAGTTGAACTGATGACCTTTCGGTTATGGGATGACACTTCAACAAATTGAGCCCCACAGGCCAGGGCATGACTTTATTTCTTAATTTAAGAAATATAATTACAGAGACAAACAAATTAATGGTAATCAGTGAAGCCATGTGAACGTGTTTAAAGGAAAAAGTATTAACTGTGCCCACCTTGTGTCAAGGGTGCCCGGGACTACCTCCCCCCACCCCATCCTGCTTTCAGTCTGTTGGGCACACACAGAAATGAAATTGCTAAGTCAGGCAGTAATTCTATGTTTAATTCTTTGAGGAACCACCATCCTGTTTTCTTCAGTGACTGCCCCATTTCATCTTCCCACCAACAGTGAACAAGGGTTCCACTTTCTCCACATCCTTGCTAGCACTTGTTTTCTGGGTTTGGTTTGGTTTTTGATAGTAACCATCTTGATGAATGTGTGGTGTTAAGTCACAGGAATTTGACCTGAAGAACCACTGTCAAATGTACACCACTTGTGTCTTCACTTTCTTCTCACTTGCTTCTCGGGGAATCTGGCCCACGCTGGGCTCCTGGGGTCATACTCCTAGCAGCTGGTCCAGAGCCTATCTGCTGACATGCTGGCCTAACTGGGAGAATGGACAGTACCCCAGGAGGGAGAGAGGGGTTTGCTCACTTCTCTTTCCTTTGCCGAGCCTCCCTTTAGTCCTTTGAAATAAACCTCCTTTCCCAGGCTGGCTAGTTTAATCTCCAAGTAGACACCCTTTCCTGCCCATCTCCAAAAAGGAAAAATTAAACTGGAAGGTGCCATATAAGGCACCTTTAAAAGACTTTCTACGGCAGAGTCTCCCCCTTGGTACTGCATACACTGTGGCCCAGTCCTTCTCTGTGTGTGGGGTGAGGGGATGTCTTGGGCACCACGGGCTATTGTGCAGCACTCCTTATCCTCACCTACTCCATGCAGGAGCACCCCCTAGTCATGGCAACCACAGATGTTCGCAACATTGCCAAGGTTCTTGTAAGCTCATATGGGGCTGGGGAGGCACTCTCCTGGGGCCCTTATTTAGGGGGCCACCATATACCTTGGCCATCAAAATAAATGGCATTAAAGCAATATTTTAACAATTCAAAATGAATGCAAAAAACTCATTGTGAACAAAATGTCAAACCGTTATATCAAAAATACTGGGTTTAACATGCACAGAAAGGCCAAGAAAACCAACGGTGCCGGATATTGAATTTATTGCACTGTCCTTTGAACACCCAGCAGCAATAAAGTGCTGAATGCTGTACCATGCAGTGCAACAAAATGTCAAAATTTCATGTAAATGCAGTGTTGAGTGAACTGGGCTGTGTCAAGCCATTTTGGAGACCAAGACAAAATGATATATGCCCCACTTATACATGTTTTTATGTCATTTTTTAATGGTTAGCTTTTCCCCTAGAACATTAATGTGGTAAAAAAATATATTGCTTGAATGTGGGAGGTGGGGATGGGTAGGGCTGGGAAGAGTAATGGGGGGAAATGGGGACAAGTGTAATTGCACAACAATAAAAAAGGGGAAATGTTAAGATATTGAAAATGAATTGTATTAAAACTTACAATAGTTTGAGATTAAATATTTTATTTGTAACCCTCCAAATATCAATTCACTCTGATATGATTCTTCCAGAGCACAGAAGGAAATTTTTTTCAACCTTAAATAATAATGGATATTATAAGAAAAATATTAAGGATAACTTTTACAAAATACTGTCTAACTCTAATCATAGACTTTGAGAATACTGTTAAAAAATCATGATTTCAATTGATGTAGTAAAAAATATTTGATTTAATTTATCATCTCTGCATTATTAAAAAAAAAAAATCTTGTCCTGGTTGGTGAAACTCAGTTGTTTGGAGCATTGTCCTATAGCCAAAAGGTTGCAGGTTCAATTCCTGGTCAGGGCACACACCTATTGTGGTTTGATCCCCAGTGTGGCACAGGTGTATGCAACCCCAGGTCCAGGTATGTATGATCCCTGATCAGGAGCCAATCCCTGTCTGGGTGCATACAGGAGGCAACCAATTTATGCTTCTCTCTCACATGTTTCCCTCTCTCCTCTCCTCTCTCTAAAAGCAAACAAAAAAAAATGTCCTCCAGTCCTGGCTGGTGTAGGTCAGTGGATTGAGCTCAGGCCTGCAAACCACACGATCGCAGTTCGATTCCCAGTCAGGGCACATGCCTGCATTGCAGGCCAGTTTCCAGCAGGGGACTCAAGAGAGGCAACCATACATTGATATTTCTCTCCTCTCCTTCCCTTCCCCTCTAAAGATAAATAAATAAAATAATTTTTAAAAAAAGACCTCCAGTGAGGGTAAAAAGTTAAAAAAAATAAAAGATCTAAAGATCTTAACAGTATAAAAATAAGCCACTAAAATGTTTTTATAAAAATGTCTTTGTATAGAAAAAATGTACAGAAAATAATATTTTCAAGATAAAATGTTAGAAATATTTCTTTTGAAATTAGAAAGAAGATTGTATTTACTAAATGCTATAATAGAAGGTTCTAGATGGTACAAAAAGGACAAATGAGTTATGAATTTAGATGAAATATGAACAATGATATTATTATATAACAGGATTTTCCTCACATACAGTCCAAAATAATCTATAAATACACTATCAGAAATTATGAGTTTAGCAAGATCATTGCATAGGATATCAACAAATAAAAATGTTTTCTTTTCTGCACTCCATCAATAGAATAACTGGTTTTATTATAATAATGATACTTCTTTTTTGGCTTAAATAATTTTATTTTATTTTTAATATATTTTACTGATTATGCTATTACAGTTGTCTCATTTTTTTTCTACCCTTTATTCCCCTCCACCCTGTACCGTCTGCTCCCAGCAGCAGTCCTCCACCTTAGTTTACGTCCATGGGTCATACATATAAGTTCTTTGGCCTCTCTATTTCCCACATAATTCTTAACCTCCCTTGTCTCTCTTGTGCCTCCCATTTATGCTTCTTATTCCCCGTACTTTTCCCGCACTCTCCCCTCTATCTCTCCCTGCTGACAAACCTCCATATGATCTCCATTTCTGTGATTCTATCCCTGTTCTAGTTGTTTGCTTATTACACTTTTGTTTTTGTTATTTTAGGTTTGGTTGTTGATAGTTATGAGCTTGTTGTCATTTTATTGTTCATATTTTTAATCTTCTTTTCTTAGATAAGTTCCTTTAACATTTCATAGTAAGGCCTTGGTGGTAATGAACTACTTTAACTTGACCTTATCTGGGAAGCACTTTATCTGCCCTTCCATTGTAAATAAAAGCTTTGCTGGATAGAGTAATCTGGGATGTAGGTCCTTGTCTTTCATGAGTCCTTGCCTTTCAATACATTGAATACTTCTTTCCAGCCCTTTCTTGCCTGCAAGATTTCTTTTGAGCCATCAGCTAATAGTCTTTCAGCTACTAGTCTTTTTATTTTTAAGATTTTATTTATTTATCTTTAGAGGGGAAGGGAAGGAGAGAGGGAGAGAAATATCCATGTGCAGTTGCCTCTCATGAATCACTTGCTGGGAACTGGCCTGCAACCCAGGCATGTGCCCTGGCTGGGAATGGAACCGCAGTTGTTTTGTTCACAGGCCCATGCTCAATCCACTGAGCTACGCCAGCCAGGGCACAGCTAATAGTCTTATGGAAACTCCTTTGTAGGTATCTGTCTCCTTTTCTCTTGCTGCTTTTAAGATTTTCTCCTTGTCTTTAATCTTGGGTAATGTAATAATGAGGTGCCTTGGCGCATGCTTCCTTCAGTCCAACATTCTGGGGAGTCTCTGAGCTTCCTGGACTTCCCAGAAGTCTATTTTTTTTTAAAGATTTTATTTATTTATCTTTAGAGGGGAAAGAAAGGAGAGAGGGAGAATCCCCCACACCAAGAGCAAGTTATTTTTTTACTTTAGTAGGGAAGTTCTCCATCATTATGTTTTCAAATAAGTTTTCAATGTCTTGCTCTTGGTCTTCTCCTTCTGGAACCCCTGTGATTCAGATGTTGGAACATTTAAAGTGGTCCCAGAGGTTCCTAAGCCTCTCTTTTTTTTTTTTTTTTTTTGAATTCTTGTTTCTTCATTCTGTTCTTATTGAATGTTTATTTCTTCCTTCTAGTCCAAACTTTTGATTTGAGTCTTGGTTTCCCTCCCTTCACTGTTGGTTCCCTTTACATTTTCCTTTATTTCACTTTCCATAGCCTTCACTTTTTTCTCTATTTTGCAGCAAGCCTCAACTGTTTCTGTGAGCACCCTGATTACCAGAGTTTTGAACTGTGCATCTGATAGGTTGGCTATCAATTTGTTGCTTAGTTGCGTTTTTTCTGGAGTTTTGATTTTTTTCTTTCATTTGGGCCAGATTTCTTTGTCTTGGTGTACCTGTTACATGGTAAGGGGAGGAGCCTTAGGTATTCACCAGGGCAGGGCAAATCACATAGCTGTGTTGTGACACTGTAAGTGGGGCAGGAATCTGAGAGAGAACAATGCCACTTGGTCACCTCTCCGCCAACTTTCAATCACTCCCTCTGCTACTCGCATGCAAAGTGGGCCCTTTCTGGTGCTGTTTCCCAGGTGGGTACCCTATGGTTCTCCTCATGGTACTCTCCTGTGAGGCTGGGAGTTTCTCCTGATGCCTCAATCCCCACAGGTTTTTCCAGTCAGAGGTTTTGAGGCTCTATTTCCCATTTCTGGGACCCTTGGTTGTATGACCTCACTCACTCCTCAGTTGTTCCTTCTGGTTTACTGGCACTCAAATGTGGGACTCCTCAGTCTGCCTGCCACCTCCTGGTCCGCCCTGGTCCTCCAGCCACCACCTTGCCATAAGTCCTTTCAGCCCTGCTGCCCATCTCTGCCCTCCTACTGGTCTAGATGAATGTTTCTTCTTTAACTCCTTGGTTGTAAGACTTCTACACAGTTTTATTTTTCTGGCAGTTCTCATTATTTTTTATTTTTAAATTTGTTTTTGTCCTTCTTTTGATTATGCGATGAAGCAAAGTGTATCTACCTACATCTTCATCTTGGCTGGAAGTCCTAAAAATGATATTTCTTAAAACATCAAGAAAGTATAAGTTGGTTAAAAATAAATCTAAAAACACATTATTGTTGACTACAAGTACAATATTGCATACCAGATGTCTAAAGCTTATTCATCTCACTGAACTTAAATTTTTACCTTTTGATTAGTAACTAAAATTTTGTTAAGGAATGAATGATACTGGGTATGTTCTTCATTCCTAGGATATGAAGGACAAGGAGCAGTGACTACTTTTATTCAGTTTTTTTTTTCATGAAGGGAAACAGTAAAATGTGGCAGTAAAAATGGATCAGATACATGGATGAAAGTGGTGAAGTGCCTGCTTTTCTGAAGGAAAGGAGTCAGAAAGATGAACTAGAAAGTAATGAATGGTTCACTCTCTTTCAGGTGACAAGTACGGATGGGATTTGCAAATGCAGTGAAGCAATTTGCCTTTAAAATAAGAGAAGCAATATTTCTTTAGTTTACATGAGGAGAGGTGGTGAGCTAAGAATGGATATATTGAGAGATACCTCTATGATAGGAATTTGAGGAATTTATAGTCTGGAAACGTGTCTTTTCTCTGGAAATGTGTAGAGTAGAAGATTCATAATTTTGTAGGAGGAGGGTATGCTGAGAAATGAAGTAGGTGACTTGAAAAGACTAGTAAATGCTCAGAGGGTTTTTTGCCTTTTCTGTTATTGCTCAATGGGATCTGAAGTAACATGGACAATTTGTCCCCAAGAAATCTAGACAGGACCACTGCAGATATTTATGGGTGAGAGTGAGAAGAAAACAGTGCAGGTATATTGAACAGGAGAACAAAGATATAAAAAAGCTGGATATTCTGGAAAGAAGGTGGTAGAGGTAATGAAACTTGGGATCTTGGCCATAAAGGGAAGAGAATGAAACTAGAAGGATGTTGGAAAGAAGAGGTGGGCTCCCAGGAGTTTATTTGAAGTCAAAATGAGAAGATGAGAGAGCAGTAGAGAGAGGAAATTTTGCTTTAGACTGTGGTATGAGACATTTCTAATAAATTATAAGTAATGGCACAACCTATGTTAATGAGTAGCTGTTGTGACAAGAGTAGAAAGTAGTTTGAGATACAAGGAATCGGGTAACCAAGGTCATGATGTGAAATATTAGGTGTTAAAAATCACTTGGTTGAATCAGAAGAATCATTTCCTGTTAGATTCAGTGAGCCTCATGAAATGGCCCTATGATTGTCAGTAATCTATAAGCTATGGTTTCAGCAAACCCAAAGTCATATTTAACTTAGCACATAATAAATATCTTAATAACACAAAATAAGATCCACAATTTAAGAACAGAATTTGTTTATCTTAGTAATGCATTTTTTATGTTAGCATGTATTTTTATTTCAGTGATGCAAAAAATCAGGAAAGATGTGATGAAAGCACTTACACACAGTATTCAAGTAAAGTAAGCATTACAAATATGCTTAAAGACTGTTCATTCCTCTTCTTTTCTACCAATCCACAACTCCAGCCTGCTTGCTGTTAAGCTAGTTTTATGTTTATGATTCCCTTGCATGTTCCCATAGTTGACTTACTTTAATGAAACTTTTTATTTGGAGATAATTGTTGATTCACATTTGGTTGTTAGAAACAACACAGAGAGATCTGGTGTACCATTTATACAATTTTCCCCAGTGGTAACATATCTCAAAATTATAGTTCAATATCACAATTAAAATATTAACATGTAAAGATGAAAAAATGTTTCATTACTACAGGGATCCTCATGTTGCTCTTTTTAGAGCCATGCTTGCTTTCCTCCCATTCTCATCCCCTCCAGATACACCACTCACTAAAAACTTGGTAACTACTAATTTTTTATTTCTATAAATTTGTCACTTCAAGAATGTGATATAAATAGATGTATATAGTATGTAGCTTTAGGGATTGGGTTTATTTTATTTTATTTTATTTTTTAAATTTTAATTGTTGTTCATGTACAGTTTTCTGCCTTTTACTTCCATCCCAGCCCAACCCCCCGAGTACTCACCACCTCCCTCCCATTTCCACCCCCCTAGTTTTTGTCTATGTGACTTTAATACTTGTTCTTGTAAATCCTTCCTCCTAAATTCTTCCCCCTCTCCCCTGTGGTCACTGTCAGCCTGTTCTCTACTTCAGTGTCTTTGGTTATATTTTGCATGTTTGCTTGTTTTGCTGTTTAGGTTCCTGTTAAAGGTGAGATCATATGGTACTTGTCTTTCACCGCCTGGCTTATTCTGCTTAGCATAATGCTTTTCAGAGCTCCTACCCTTTGCAACAGCATGGAGGGATTGATTTTTTAATTTAGCATAATTATCGGGAGATTCATCTAGATGCTGTGTATTGACATGTTAAAGATCACTTTGTTAAATCAGAAGAATCAGTAACTCTTTGTTGTGTATGTGGCTTGCTACTATTTCTCTTAGTATGTAACTTGTCTTTTTATTTTCTGAACATGGTCTTTAATAACACAATAGTTTTTAATTTTTACGAAGTCCAGTTTATGACTTTTTTTTATGGATTATGCTTTTGATGCAAAGTCTAAGAACAGCCCTAGATTCTACTGATGATCTCCTATATTTTTTCTAACAGTTTGATAGTTTTACATTTTATGTTCAATTGTCTTGTTCTTTTTGAGTTAATTTTTTTTGTATAAGGGTTGAGACTTAGGTTACAGGTCATCTTTTGTTTCTATGTTTGTCTCGGAGTACCCAATTGCTCCAGCACTATTTGTTTAAAAGGCCTCCATGTAATTATTTTGCATCTTTGTCAAAATCAGTGGGGGGTATTTGTGTGGTGTTATTACTGAGTTGTTTACTCTGTTCCATTTATATATGTGTCTGCGCTCACCATTTGTCAATAGCACACCGTCTTTATTGCTGCAGCTATGTATTCAAGTCTTTTGTAGGTTGACTCCTCTCACTTCATTCCTCTTTGTCAAAATTGTTTAGCCATTTCGGTTCATTGGCATTCCCATATAAACTTTAGAAAAATCTTGTCTATATCTCCAAAGAACAAATCTTGCTGGAATTGTAATATAAATATTAAATTTTTGAAGAAATGTCATCTTTGCTCTTTAAATTTTTTCAATCTGTTAATGTCTCTTCATTCACATTTTATTTGATTTCTCACATCAGCATTTGTAGATTTCAGCACGCAGGTGCTGTGTGTATTTTGTTAAATTATACCTAAGTATTTTAATATTTTGAACACTTGTAAATTGTTTTTAAAATTTCTCTGTCCATATGTTCATCACTTGAATATACAAATGTAATTTTTTAAATATTTAGCTTATATCTTTCACTCCTGCTGAGCTCACTTTGAAATATTTTGGTAGATTTTTTAGAATTTCTACATAGAAAATAAGATAATCTGCAAATAGGGAGTTTTGTTTCTTTTTTCCCCAATTAATATGCCTTCTATGCCCTTTCTTACCATATTACACTGGCTAGAAATTCCAGTAACATGTTGAATGAGAGCACAGATGCCCTTGCCTTGTTTGCTGTCTGAGAGAAAAAGCAGGTGTTCTTTCACCAGTACACATAGAAAGTTGTATGTATTTTTTCTGTTTATTTTAAAATGTGTAAATTGTCTTCTATTTCTATTTTTCTGATAATTTTGTATTTAATTATAAACGAGTGTTGAGTTTCGTCCAATACTTTTGCATTAATTGATATTATCAGGTGACTTTTCTCCTTTAGATAGATATTAGTATGGTAGTTTCTGTTAACTGATTTTCAGATATTGAGCCAGTCTTGCATCTGTATAACCTCTACATGGTCATGGACTTATAAACCTTTTTATATTGATGAATTTTACTTTCTAATACTTTGCTAGTGATTTGTGTGTGTGTGTGTGTTATAAGACATTTTATTTTATTTTTTAATATATTTTTTTATTTAGTTATTTTTCAAGTACAGTTTTTTTGTCTATTTCTCCCATCCCAGCCCCCCCTGCCCCGTCTCCCCACCTCTCTTCCATCCCCCCCCCAGTCCTCATCCCTGTGTCTTTCATACTTGTTCCTCAAAATCCCTCCCCATTTTCCCCCAAGGTACTGGTCTGTAGTTTTCTTTTGGGACTCTCTCTGATTCTGATGTTAGGGTTAGCCTCTGCCAAAGAGTAGAGAAACATATGCTCTTCTTTTTTATATGAAATTGTATAGAATTGGTATTAATTTATTCATTAATGTTTTAAATTCTTTCCTGGAGATTTTTTTAGATAATTCTGAATTCAATTTCCTTAATAATTTTGAGCTATTCCAATTATCTATTTCATATTAGGTGAGTTATGCAGTTTGTGTTTTTTTAGAAAAAATAAGATTGACTCTTTTTACCTTAGGCAGCATTACATTTTTTATTTTGCCATATATTTTTATTTCAGACTTACAAAAAGATACTGAGAAAGAATAATGAAAATTCTTGTAACCACTACTTAGGTGAAGAAATAAATATAAATAAGGTAAAAAACTGTGTTTATTCCTCTTCTTTCTTTACTACTCTCACCTGTACATTAATTACCACTACACTGGATGTGATGTTTATTATTTTCTCACATGTCCAAGTAATTGATTTTTAAAAAACTAGTGTTGCTAACCAATGTGGTATCCAGATTTATACAGTTTGACTTGGCTGGCATATATTGACAAAAATGATATGGACATGACATTATTTTGTTTCTACAGTTCTCCCAGTGTTTACTCAACTACCTCAGGTTACTAGCATAGAGGTTGGAAGGAATATAGACATTTCATGTCATGCTCAAGGAGAACTACAGTCCATAATTACTTAGAATGAGGTAAGATCTCAGCTAAAAGTACAGTAATATTAAAAACACTGACAGGCATATTGACCCACTGAAACAGAGGTAATGATTCTCATATTGATTTATTGCTGCTGAGATTTTTCCTAGCAAGTAACACTTTTTACACCGAAAGCGGTTTGTTTCCTTCTTCTTTTTTTTAAAGTGACTATATCTGATTTTGGCTCAGGGCTTTGATAAAGTTTATCCTTTTTCATTTGCTTGGTAATAATAGCTTCATAAACATAACTAAAATCCTCTAAGGAAAAATTGCTCTTGTCATATATAAATTAAAAGTTTTAGTGGCTAGCAAGAAACAATTTTGAATTAATAACTCAGAGTGTATTAGAAGTAGGTCATTAGCTGATGCAAGAAAGGAATGAAATCTTGGTACTAAAACAAAGTGACATGGAAAAAGTAATTCTGTAAATCAAGACTTAAGTGACTGTAAATAGTAACTCTTTATTTATATATCTCACTTTCTTTGGTTGTGTGAGCCATATTCATTCAACATAATTGCTTATCCAATTTTAAGTTTTTCTTGAAAATAAAATAATAGATCTCAGATTCCAGTACTCTTACAAATAAATAAAACTACTTACACCTGAATGGCATTTTTATGGTAAAATTTAACAAAATATAAAATTTTTTAAAGTTGTTTTTCAAAACCACTTGGCTTATTTTTGTTGTTACATTATAGTAACGATGTGTTATAGCTTTGGTGGCTCGCTTCTTTTTTGCTGTAGCTAAGGATCAGATGCAGTTCTCTTACAGAGTAAGTTGAATGGTCTCAAATAAATTTACAACTTTAGAACCATGTTCTCTCAAATAGTCTAAATAATTGTTTTAATTTCTTTTAAATTTACTATTGTATAATTCAAATATTTTACACTAAGATATAAAAAATACACATTTTGGTCTATATCTAAAACCTTACTTCACATTGTACTAAACACATTATTATATAGGATGGGGATAAAGTAGGTTTACGATTGTGAGTACATAAAACAGAATATTCTTGTATTATTGTTTGTTAATTACTGTATTATTTTCCATATAAACCTACTTTTGCCCAATCCTGTATAATCATGTCAGCAAAATATCTCAGTTTAATTTCTAAAAGGTAGCTTCTAATCACAAATTGATTGAGGAATGGCTATATGCCAGACACTTTACATACATTACCACATTCAATCTTCATAGAAATCTGCTTTAAGTGACAAGTTTGAAAGGATTTGAGCTAGGATGTTTCTTTGCAGGAAAGAAAATACCTGACATAAGCAGATAAGGAGTTTATTGAAAAGCTATCTGCTAGCTTAACGATTTTAAACAAAAACTATAGAATTGTATATTTAACTTGAGAATTCTAGCAGTAAGTAAAGACAAGAGAGTCAAGGTTTGCAACTTTGAAAGGAAGATGCAGCCATGGTCCATCAAGGGAAAGCAGCAAGAAAGATCGGGAAAGCGCAAGGTTGCCTCACCCCCCTTCTTTGTCGCATCTGATCCTTATCAGTATGCCCTTCAGTCTGGTAGGTCCCTGCTACCTTTTTTTATTCCCTAACCTGAGTTATCAGCTAGCTACCTATCACCTTTGACTTGTTTCTTAGCACTGGCCAAAGACAGCTGTGAGAATCTGAATACCTTCAAAACATTTTTTTTCTCTTTAAACCTCTATGGTTACATCCTGGCCTCTTGGCCGTTGCTGGAATAAAAGGTTTTCTTTTTTCTTTATTTTTACTGCTAATATTATTACAAATGTCCCCATACCCCTGTACACACACTTTGGCCACCTCCCTGCCATCTCGCTCTCCTTCCCTCTGGCCTTCACCATACTATTGCCTGTGGGTTATGTGCATATGTTCCTTGGCTAATCCCATCACCTTCTTTCTTCCAGTTCTCCCCATTCCTCTCCAAAAGCTTTTTTGAAATAGTATCTTCCATCCTCAGTTTCCTGTAAGTGTTTTGGAAAGGGGCAGGATGAGACCATCTCCACCCCTATTCCACTGCAATTGCAGTCTATGAAGCCTATTTCTTTTGCTTTTTAAATTAATAACAAAATAATAAAAAGTATATAAATCCATATCAATTATAAATGAATGCATGTTAACAATATTTCATAGAAAGTATAGTTATTTCTCATCTTCTTAAGTTATTTTAATTCAGAAACACAGATGTAAAAACTTTTCAGCCATACAAAATTTCTGAGTATCTATGAAGAAGAAAAATGGGAAATCAGAACTATGAAATTACTTTGATGGTTTTAGGTGGTAGAGTAGTATTTTTCTCCTTTTCAAATTTTAGATTTATTGTTGTGAGAATTCTTTTAGACATGAGTGGGATATGAATAAACTGTACATATTCATGCTTTGGAATGATGATTTTAAAATAATCATCATATTAAATAATTACATGATCGAACAAACCCCACTTCCTAGAAACCTCTCTCTGTTTCTTCCTCTCCATTAGATTTGTATACGATCTCATCTAGTGCTTGACAACTAGTGTGCTCTCAGTAGATACTCACTGAGCAAATAGAACTATATCAAACAAAATGTAAAGATGTTATTTTTAAAGGAATCACATTTTCTTCCAGTGGCAATTCTTTTTCACACCATAGGCAGGCATTCAGATTACTGATGGTGGTAAATTGCACATCAGTACTGGAGGCGAGCTAACTGTCTAGGATGCAAGGCAAGCTGACTGAGAAAGACATGAACATGTGGCTCAGAATTCACTGGCCTCGTTGTGGCTAACAAGTTGCTCACAGTCATCAGTAAGTATTTATAGCTCCTCATATAATACTGAAATAAATGCATTTCAACAGCTCCTAATTTTAAACCTGATTCACCTCACTACCCAAGTTCCCTATACATTCTTTTTAATTTAATATGCTAATATTAAATCAGAGCTATTTTAATATTTTTTAAAATCTAACATCTTGTTTAATAATGGGTATCAAATACCAAAAATAACAATGCCGAAAGGGAACATAGATACCAATAATTTGAAAATGTATGTTATGTTTTTTATGGAATTGAAAATTATAAAATGTAAGATCAATTCATACAAACAAATGTGAATAAATGAAATTTAGCATATATTAGTCACTCTGGCCTCATATATTTAATCCTATGTTAAAATTAAAAATTAATCAGTCAGGTTTCTAAGTAAAATTTGCAACTATGAAGACAAATATCTTAATATTTGAAAGCATTTACATTTGGCCAAAATTGGCATTTTTTACATTTAATTATCATCAATCTGGTTATATAGTTATAGCCCTCTGCTAGTTGATTATAAATAATGACAGACTCCAAAATTTGATTTTCATAGTTTTATAAAAAACAAAGTCCTGTTTTTAAATTAATCAGTTCATAAGAGATAAGAGTCCATTTGTAGGTGGCTCAAATAGACTGAACTACACCTTGGCTGTGGTGATAGAAATGGAGACAGGCTATTATGATTGACTGATATGTTCTCCACATGGGGAAAGCATTCAGTGAAAAGCACGGCATGTCTGCACATGTGAATTAATATCAGATTTGGTTTTTTGCAAATTGTTTTACAAGTTTTTGCACTTAGATAATCAGAAGTGGAAATAGATGCGTTCAGCTACAAGCATACGGAATGCTGTGGTGGGTTTTGCCTGTTTTTTGGTTTCCTTAGAAAGGGGCAGATTTCATAAGTAGGGTTTTGCTGATTTATTTTTTCCTTTTAGTTTTTCCAGCTTTTATGGGTCTAGAAAAGACATTGATTACTTTTTAAGTTATATACAGGCTTGGTTAAAAATAAGTTTATTTAAACAAATTACATTTTTAAGAAGTCACCATTTTTCTATCATATAGTATAATGCTGAGTGAAATAGGCCAGGCATTGAAGGACAAATACCATATGATCTCACCTTTGACAGGAAGCTAAAGAATAAAACAAACAAGCAAACAGAATAAAAACAAAGACGCTGAAATAGAGAACAAGTGGGCAGCGACCAGAGGGGAGAGGGAAGGGAACTTAAGGGGAAAAAGGGGGAGGGATTTTGAGGAACAAGTATGAAAGACACAGAGTTGAGGACTGGGGATGGGGGGGGGAATGGGAGGGAGGGGGGAGACCGGGAGGGGGGGGGGAAGGGAAAAAAAATGTACTTGAAAAGTAACTAAATAAAAAAATAAATAAAATAAAAAAAAAAAAAAAAAAAAAATCAAATTCTTCCACTGCCAAATTATTTTGAGATCAAAAACTTCTGAAATTCCACTTGGGTATTTCATATAAAGTATATATTTTCATCAATAGCGCGTCAAACTTCATGTATTTATTATATGGTAAAAACTAATTCTCTCTAGTTTACTATTCTTTTTAAGTATATTTTACTGATTGTTATTATTGTTTTGCTGATTTTTCCCCTTTATCCTCCCTCTGTTCTACATCCTCCAACCCTCCAGCATACCCCCGCTTAGTTCATGTGCATGGGTTGTCCATATAAGTTTTTTAACTTCTCTGTTTCCTATACCATTCTCAGCCTCTCCCCATCTATTTTATGCCTACCAATTGTGCTTCTTGTTCCCTGTACCTATCCCCCACATTCTTCTTCTTCCCTTCCCCACAGAAAATCCTCCATGTGATGTCCATTTCTCTGACTCTGTTCCCATTCTACTTGTTTGCTTAGTTTTTGTTTTTGTTTTTATGTTACATTGTTCATAGCTGTGAGTTTGTTGTCGTTTTACTATTCATAGTTTTTGGTCTTCTTCTATTTCTTAGATAAGCGCCTTTAACATTTCATGTCATAAGGGATTGGTGATTATAAACTCCTTTAATTTGACCTTATCTGGGAAGCACTTTGTGTGCCCTTTCATTCTAAATGCTAGCTTTGCTGGAGAGAGTATTCTTGGATGTAGGTTCTTGCCTTTTATGATTTCAAACACTTCATTCCAGCCCCTTCTTGCCTGTAAGGTTTCTTTTGAGAAAACAGCTAATAGTCATAGGGTAATTTCTTTGCACATAACTCTCTCCTTTCCTCTTGCTGCTTTTATTTTGATTAAAAATTGTTTTCACTTCAGTTCTACTTAGTTTTTATAATCTCCATAAATCACAAGAGGGATAGTGCATAAAACGGCCAAAGTGTCTTTTCTTCAGTCAGTGTACATAATGCACCCACCTCTGAACTACTCATCATTGTCAGTTCAGCCTCAAAGAGAAGGGAACTTATTGACATAGAATCAAAATGGCATTAATTTCACTCTGTATGGCCCACAGTAGGTATTAGTCATTGGACCCTGTTATGCCAGCATCCACCAGTGTCAGACACAGTAATCCTGCCAAATCCATGAATTGACAATGATTGTCAAGTTGAACACACCTGGTCATAAACTTCACTTCTGGTCACCCAGAGGTGAAAATTTTGCTTAGGATATGTAGTGCTTAGGTTTATTACAATTTGAATCAGCATCTTTAGACTAGTGATGCCTTCCAGTTGTATAAACTTCCCAACTGTCCTCATGGAGCCACCTTGGGATGTTTTGCAACACCTGAATGTTTTAAAGAAAACACATTTGCTGCTTTCATAGTCATCAAATAAAGTATGTACCCAGTCTTCACAGTTGTTGGTCAAAAAGGAACATCTTAAAATGACATAAGCAAATATTGCCCTGAACCCTGTTCACTCACAAACGATATGGTGTGGTGATAATAGATTCCTGTTCTACAGCCGTTGAGCTTATTTCTTTTTTTAAAGATTTTATTTATTTAATTTTAGAGAGAGGGAAAAGGAGGTAGAGAGAGAAAGAAACATCATTTGGTTGCCTACCACATGCACCCCAATGAGGGACCAGGCCTGCAACCCAGGCATGTGCCGTGACCAGAAATCCAACCAGTGACCTTTCCTTTGTGGGTTGATGCCCAATATACCAAGCCACACCCATCAGGGATATACAGCTTATTTCTACCCTTTTTGTAATTCCTCACTTTATCACTATCTAGGTGACCTTGGGCAGGTGACTAAACATCTTTGGACCTCACATTTCTTGCCTGTGTAATTGAGATCATGATAGGATATACTTGCTAGAAAGATTAATTAAGTTAATATAGATAAAGTGTTTCAAATGTGCCTGGAACGTAGACAGGGCTTAATTAAAGTGGAATGCTAATATTATTACCACTATTCTATTATCTAAAGTTATTATGATTCCAGAATTAGATGACTAGATATGCCTCAGTTGACCAAAATCTCTAAAGTTGTTTTACATTTTCAGTGACTATAATATTTTTTTAACTTCATTCAGTTCTCTAAAAGTGTATAAACCAATATTATGTGCTGGTCAGTGGTCTTGGTCCTTATAATACAAAGATGAGTAAGGCATCACCTCATCTCTAACACAGTCTCTCTCTAGTGGAAAAGACATATCAGAAACTTAAGCATATCTTGTGCATGTAATAGATGTATATAATGAAATAGAATTAACAAAAAATGGTAGCTTCTCAGAGCTATCAGGAAAACTTTATAGAGGGAGTAATGTTTGAGCAGGAATATAAAGATAAGGGGGGATTTCCAGGCCAGGCAGTTACATTTAGGGAAAGAGAAGACATAAAGTGCCATGACCTACACAATGAGTAATGTACAGTATTTCAAAGGCTTTACTGAGCCCCAAGACTCATGCAAGAACCCTTCAAGTTTGCATCCCCCACCGCAGATGTGGCTTTTTATAGAAGACTATTATTTTAATCATTAATTCACTCATGAACAAATTATAAAAAGAACCCACGGTCCCCCTTATATTCTGGTATTGGAGTTTAATTCTTCTCAAACATTTGGAAAATATAGTATTCTTAAGTGCATGGAAGATGTAAGATTCATGGATTCTGCAGTCTTATCTTGCAAACAGTAATGTGAGAGATTCATGGATTGTGCAGCCTTCCAAACAGTGGTATCTTTTGTCATTTACAGGAAACCTCACACTTCCAAAGATCTGCTGCTAAACATCTTTGGACTTCCAAAGACAGAAATTCTGCTATCTTCATGACCCATTTACTGTAGAGATAGAAAGAGTGGGGGAGATTTTTGAGCATACTCCAACTGGTTCAGGAACATATGAAGCAGGGGCTCACTGTTGATTTGGTGGGCAGAGGTCAGCCTCTAGAAGCATTCTGTTCTACTGTCTACAGCAACACTGACTATCCCTCAGCCTTTAATCTCCAAAGCATCATGTCATTTAAAAACTCATTTATTCACCAGTTTTATCAAATGAAAGCCAGTGTTTCTCATAGGAAGTAGAATTCAAAAGTAAAGATGATGTGTGTGTGCAATATATAAAATATAAATATATATAGTTAAATGTATATAACTTTACATGTATACTTATATATAAAGATATGTAAGTATATATAATTATATATACTTAAACTTGTTAATTTTTGCCCACTATATGCATCAAATCAATGTAGCAGACTCATTTTATATAATCTTACTTTTGGAATCCAAAACTATTAATATTTCTTATAGAATATCATTTATTACCAGGATAATATTTCCCTACTTATTATTGTAATCCCCTAAGTCACTCAGTGAATCTACCTGACTCCATTTACTCCTATAATGCATGCATCCCTTCTCCACTTGTCTGTATCTCTCCTCTTTGTCTTTGTTGCACTGAAGTTTTCATGTTTTTCTTCCTGACTCCAGACATCTATTTAATATATGTCAAATAAAAATGTTATAGAAAGCTTTCAGGCTTTCTATGCCTTTCTCTTTAAAATGAAGTAAACAAATATGATTCCTTGCTATACACTAGTTGTACTGTGATTGCAAAAGCAAAGTCTATAAATTTACCTTTGTTTACTCCTGTAGAATATAAACTGAGATGTGATGTAGAAGGCAGTTTATGTGCTTGGCTCACTCCTTAGGTGTTCTAAACAATTATACTCCAAAGTACATTTGACAGCCACTACTGGTCGATTATGTCTTGGGTTTTCAAAGCTTCCCTAACTAAAATATGCAAGTGAAAAGTTCCTAATATGTCCATATCAGCATTTTAATTAAACCTCCATATATTGAATATTGAATCATACCATGTATGAGTTAATCATGGTCATAGCTGCAGAAAACCCAGTTCTACATCATGCCTCAGCTCCAGGTGAGGATTAAGCCCATGGTCTTTCTGGACATCTTTGAGTTCAAATTTCCCAGAATAACTTACTCTTAATCCATAACTAGAACATTTGAAGTGATCAGTAGCTGAAGAGATACTGCTTTGCTAAAATAGGCATCTGAGGTTTATGATGGTCATTGCCAAACTGAATATCTTCTCATTTAAACTATTCAAACTTTAATAATTTTCCATTATTTTTAAAGTTAAAGACCGTTTTCACCCCAGGAGCAACTTGGCTTTAAAAGTGAGGTCATATCCATGTTTTGGTATACAGAAAAATTATTGTATCTGTTCAAGATTAGGCTATCCCAGGGTCCAGCCTGGGGCAAGTTTACACAAGTAAAAGACAATGCTGATACCATTAGCCACTTCCTGGTGATTAAATAGGGATAATAACTCTTATCAAGCAGGATTTAGTGAATAACCCTTTGCAGATTTGGAATAGTGCTGCAATTTTAAGCTCTTAAAAGAACACCTTAAGCCACCTCTGGGTTTGTTTCACATTCTCTGTGGAACGACAGGTAGTTATTCCCCTCATATCAAGTATTATTAGGTTAATATCCACATGATCCACACTGGCATATCTTAGACTCTATCTTCTTGGAGCATAATACTTGAAAGAAAAAGTTCTGAAATGGAAAAAAAATTCACAGTTCTATGATGAGGACTAACAAATCCTTACTGAGATTCCATTGGTAAAGTCACAGAACTAAGGTGTAGATAGGACTGGGAACATGTTTCTTTGTCTTTTTAGTTCATCCTAGCAGGTAGTAATTGCTCATAAAATAGACATCACCAAGTAATTCCCCTATCTTTTGGAAACTGTTATATAACTATGTATCTCCTTGTTTTCCTAATCATTTTACTTTCAGTTTTGCCCTACTGAAATGTTGTTGGACATAAGGATTTCTGCTGACTCAGACCCGTCCCCACTGCCCTAGAGTTGGAGGTTCTCCCCTCTCCCCTCAAGGGCATCTCCTTTCGTTGTTTTTACTCCTGCGCATTTCAAAATATTGCTGCAATGACTTGGTACGCCCCATGCTGCCTCTCCCTCATCTCCAATTTATCTGAATGCACAGCCCACAGGCACATGCCCAACTGCTCTGACATGTGGTTCTATTAGAAGAACCGAGCTCAGGATTGAATGTACAATGATCTGCAGTGCCCCATAAGGGCATGGCTCTGGCTCTGGTCTGCTTTGAGCACAGCCTGAAACTCATCTATAAGAGTGGCTTCAACTTGCCTTGTGGGGTTGCCCTCCATGCAATGCCCAGTGTGTATTCCCTCCCCTTGCCCAGGCTGATCCCCACAGAGTTGGCGGCCACAGCAACTGTCACCCACGACAATACATACACCCACATACCCATGCAATAGGGCCAGTTTTTAGACTATGATTTGGACCATACAGTATCTGGTTGAACATATCTTGCTTTTCTGATGGGCAACTGTGCAGCTCTTTGTGTACACTATTTGCTTTCCAAATGTCACTACTCACACCAACCCTCAGAGAACCCATGTACCATGTATGTTTTTTGTATGCTCCAGCCTTGTGTGTGGTGGTGGAATGACCTCCTTGATGATGAACTCATATGCCTGAGAACAGATTAACCAGCTCATGTCATATATCAATGTTTCTAATGTTTATGGGAGCTCAGAGCAAGAATCTCAAGTACTCAGAGAAACGCTCAGAGCCTTGGAGACTCTTTCAGAGAAATGTTAGAAGCTGTGGGAACACCTGAGGATAGGCTTACCTTGGGCCTCTTTGGGAAAGTACTTACTATTTTTTTCTACAGGCCCACCCACCCAGTACACAAGGCACGAGCAGGAAAGCCACAGCCTGTTTCCTGGCCTGGACCACAGGACTCTCATAGCCATGCACATGCTGTGGCTCCAGGAACACTACAGGGTAGCTTCCGGAACCCTCACAGGGATTGAGACCCTTTACCACAAAGCCAGGAAAATTGGGTGCTGAGCTGCACGCATCACCTACAGCCACTGGCTACCCAAAATACTGAGGAAAACCCAGCACACAGATGCTGACGGATTATCAGGGTTGCAACACCAATGTGAATGCAGGTTTCATGAACTCTTTCACTACTGCAGCCTTCAGATTTGCCCACAGTTAACCAATCCTTATTCTTTATCAATTGAATGACATCTTTGGTGAAATCCCCAAAGACCACCTTCCACTCCACAAAGTTTTTATTACACCATCCAGAATAATCAAGGAGGGGGAGCTAGATCTACATCTTTGGGGGCTCTCTGGTACAGCCACTAAGTAGCAGGTACCTTCTCAACTTCTCAGCCTGGACCTGACTGAGCAGCTGTTCTCCACAGTCCATCTCGTGGCCCTGGATTTGGCTGCTGCCAACACTCAAAGGGGACAAGACCACAGGATCCCTCCATGTGTTGACATCAGAGTTTTCTGCAATATGTCTTCTGTTGAAAATTTTGAAGATCTTCAAAATGAAATAAAAACTCAGAAATTAGAGAAAAACTGAAAACATAGGAATGCAAATGTTACCTGGATTTAATAATTTCTTGAGAGAGGTAAGAGTGTTAAAGGACATTTGCATAGAAGGAATTTTGTGTCCCAGTGATGCTATTGCAGAGCTTTGAGTAATTGTTATTGTGAAAGAAGTTAAATATTAAAGAAAGGATTTCCAGAGATTAAAACCCCATTTTTACCTCTTTGTCTACCCACTTCCGAACATATATTCACAAAGATGTATTGCCAGCATATCTCAACTAGGGGAGGTTGGCATGTCTAGTGTGTTTGCATCTGTGGCAGTCCAAGCAAGGCCATTTGATTGTTACGGGAAGGTCTAAGCTCTAATGTAAAGCCTTGTAATAAACCTGCCCATCACATATGTCTTCTTAACCAGAGCAAAGTAAGGGGATGAAATTAAATTATATTTTTAAACAGAATAAATAAGTATGCATTATCTATAGAATATAAGTCAGGGAATTTTAACTGTACCATTAATACCTGTGAGTAAAGTGTAACGTTTTCTATATGTGACTTACAAATTTTCTCTGAACTTAGAAGTATGAAAGATTTTTAGAAAAGAGCTTTAACTGTTCCTCATGCTAACAACCCCTCAACCCTTAAAATACGCTTTAAAATTATAGAAATGCTTAAACAAGAAGTGTTTTTATATAGTAAACTAAATATAAAAGACTAATGTATTTACCAATAGATTCTGGTATGTTAATATTAAATCATTTAAAGAAGTTTAATATTGTTCACAAAGTATGGAGTTAATTGTTAATATTATTCCATTTTGTTAATATGAAGGATATTTTTCTCATGCTTATGTAGTATATCAAAGTGTTAAAATGTATAACATATTAAAAATACAGGGTCTGGCACAAATAATGCCACTTTTATTACAAAATCTTTTATTACAAAATTATAAGCATGTATTCCTGTAACGTATCACACTCAAACACACCATATGACATTTTACATGAAAGGTGCACATTAAAACTGTAAATTACTAGGCCCGTATTGTTACCCTACCACCCACACTCAGGCAGGCCCTACTTCAGCTGGACCCTGTACACCACCGTAGCCCTGGCTGGTGGGGCTGAGTCCCTTGGGCATTGTCCCACAAACTGAAACATCACCAGTTCAATTCCTGGTGAGGGAACATGCCTGGGTTGAAGACCAGGCCCCCGGTGGGAGGTATGTGAGAGGCAATAGATCAACGTTTCCCCTGCACATAGATGTTTCTCTCACTCTTTTCTTTCTCTCATCCCCTCTCTCTAAAAATAAATAAAATCTTAAAATATATCAGAGTATCATGCAGATTGAATGTACAAGTTTCTGCTGAAAAGAATATTAACTTTCGATTCATAGATTTGGATTTATTTTATTTACACTTTTATTTTTATTTAGTTCTAAGAACTTGTGAAAATTATTTGAACAGTTCTGAATCTCAGAATATCTATAAAATGAGAGAGTGTTGTTTCCTCTTTGAAGTTGTTTAAATATTTAATATAAAAAATTTATTAAATCCCTAGCCCAGTTCTGGTGCATCAGTTGTAATCAATAAATGTGAAAACATCTAACGTTATAACATTTACAATCAATGCATATTATAACATTATCATTGCAGTTGTCGACATCATTATTATATCGTGCAGCTGCTATGCGCCAGCCCTATGGTAGCTGCTGGGACTTCAGATGAAGGAATCTCACCCCTCCTCTCACTTCCTTGACAGCGTGCAGGGAAGGCAGGAAACAGCTGTAACAGCAGATTACACTGCTGTAATCAGTGTGAAAAGGGCTATCATAGGGAAGGAATGGCAGACTTTTGTCTCAAATCCCCTTCCCTCCATAAAGCCGAGAGGAAAACCCAGCCATCCTCATCCAGACCAAAACCAAAGGCAGTGTCCAGAGTACTCCTATTTAAAGTAGTATACTTTGGAAGTTGCAGGTGTCCAGTTAGTGGTCATCCAGGCAGCTCAGCTTGCTCCTTCCTGGACACCATCAGGCCTCAGAATCCCTCCTGGAACCTGCAGGTGGTTCTGACATCAGCATTGGCCATGTGGCTTTCAGGGCCAGAAGGTCCCGTGCACACACTGGCCAGTACATTTGCCAGGTGGATAAAATACCATTCCTTCCTTCCCTTGGGGCTGCATTAGTTTTGGGTATGGGAAGGACCAGGTACTTTCTCAGAATTCCCAAATAACTTCCCAAACTTCCACACACTCTGAGAGGCTCCAGCTTCCATCCAATCCCCTCTTTACTCCAGGGTAGACTGACAGGCTTCTTAAATCCAGCACCTTCCCCTGCCGACATTCTGACCTCTATGGATCCTGTGCCTCCCTTCCCCTGGTCCCACCCCAATCAGGTACAGGAAGCAGGCTTTCCAGTAGGAAGGCTTTCTCCTTCTCCAATTCTCTTGAGAGCTTTGCATGTGCTCAGTGAAATAGTTTTTCCTGCCACCTTCTTGCTTGGGGGTGGGGGGATCTACTGCAAGGAGCAGGAAGCTCTGCCCTGAGGGTAGAGCATTTGTAAAGAAAAAGCATGGTCACCCAGGAACTGTCGCCCGGACGGCTGCCTCAGGTGGTTTGTGATCTCCTCCACTGGCCCCTTTTGTTCCCTGCCCTCCACCTGCTCCCAGCGGCCCAGCCAGGTTATCAGTATCAATTCACCCCTTCAAAACTCTAAACCCTGGTATTTTTACAAGGGGACATGGTCAAAGGTGTCATTCTCCTGTAATTACTTTCTGCTGATAAAGATTATAATCTTACCTATCCCTGGGCCCAGAGATTCTTACTCTTCAACAATCAAAGGCAGGTCAGGAATGAAAGGAAGCCTTTATGCGAGGGATAAGTATCTTTCAAATTCCAGGTCAGTTGGCTGTCCCTGGGAACAGGGACATATGTGATATCCAAAGTATGGCATTGCTAGATAAGCAAAGCTGGTAGACAGCTTCATGTTTCAAGAAATAGGGTTGCAGATGACCTTCCAAAGTGAGACCAATTGGGCAGACAAATAACTGAGTGTTTAGTGAGGGTTAGAAACCAGAGAAAGACTGAAGGTTCCATATGATCGATCTACCCTGAATAGGGATTTGGGTTGTACCCCTACCCCAGCCCCAGCAGAATAAATTTGCAAAGGTAATCACTACCTGGGAAATGCAGAAAGAAAGGAAAATGATTGAAATGAAATGAAACACTGTCGGCTAGCTTTGGAAGCTGCCAGCCTTTTCTGAAGGAGAAATTCTACATCTCCGTCAGGAGTGCAGGTCCAGTTTTCCCTTCCCATGTCACCTGCAGCAGCAAGATGCAAGTCCTTCTCAGTCAGTGCCCACTTTATCTGTGTGTGGTGGATCCAAGGCTTGATTCCCATGGGTTTTAGGGCAGAGTGTGTTGTCAGCAGGACATCACAGGGACTGGTTCATTGCTTGGCTAACTGCTGTTCAGGGCTTTGAGTATTCTAGGTCTTTAGTAAGACACAGTCTCCCAGATGGAATGGGTGTAAGGACTGACTGGTCAGAGGATAGATGGACCTGCAATGAACAGTCTTGTGCAAAAGTGTTAATGTTTGTCCTAAGTGTTGTATATATTGCTTGATTTTTTTTATTCATGCTCTAGATCTAAAGGGGGTTTTCCTAAAACAGAAACTTGGAAGACTTTCCCACATACAATTTCAAAAGGGCTTAATATAAACCCGCTTTGGGGTGCTGCCCTAGTTTGGAGCCAGGCAAGAGGCAGTGCTTTGTCCCATTTCGGATGTGTGTTTCCTGACATATTTTTGCTGGGGTTGTCTTCACCGTGGGGTTCATTTTCTAAGTCTTTTGCACAGATTGAAGTCTCCAAGGTGCGTGTAGTTTCCCTTGAATCTGTGTGCCTGCCCTGTCTTCTGGGAGATATCTAAAGCGAAAGATGTTCATTGTCACTTTGAATGCCATGAGGAAGTCCAAACCTTTAGGAAGAAGTTTTGCTACCTCAGTAGGTTTCTCAGTTCTAGTTAGAATATACCTTTATTCATCCATAAAAAGTATCCACAAAAACTAAGAAAAATGCAGTTTCCTTTGGGTTTAGGCATCTGTAGAGTCAACCTTTTAGCCTTCCTATGGGTATATCTGTTTGTACTATACTTTCTTTCCCATTGGGGCACATTCTGTCTTAAGATCGTTTTTGGTGCACATCTGACAGGCTTGCATAATCCTTTGGATGGTCCTTTGCAAAGGAGGGCCTTTCCTGCTTCCTGCTTTCTACCTTCTCCCAGCAGTCTGGAGCCAGTCTATCAGTATCAGAAAGGCTGGAAGAGGAAATAAAAAAGATGATAGGGGACAGCTTTTAAAGGGCCTTTTATGCCACACAAAGGATTGGATCTTCACTCTGTTTTTAATTGTAGAGCAGGAGAGTGACATGAGGAAATACTTTTTCATAAATGGTAGGTGGCAGGAATTTGGAGGATATACTGGAAGGAGGAGAGGCTAGCAACAAGAAATTCTAGTTATGACAGCAGTCCAGGTGAAGCAAGAGGACCACTTACATTGTGGCAGTATATGTGGTACTATCAGTACTTCAGTTATTTCCTGGGAACACATTATCTCCACTGACTGAAGCTGAGCCCACTCTTGCTTTGCAATTCATTTGAGTCCCATGTCTCAATTCATAGCTAACTTGTAAATTCACTATAAATTATAGAGAACTAGAAATATTTTCTCTTAAAAATGTCCTGTCTCAGGCCCTCCTAAATCCTACGGTTCTACTGTTGCCTCAAGCAGCATAATCTGGACTATAGATATTGCTTCTCCACTGCAGGGCAGGTGGCTCGAAACAAATCACTGGTTTTTAAGATGAACGGTGGCTAAGACCCTGCACATTGAACATTCACACATCTGACTTTCTCTGTGCTCCTTTAATTAATCCAGAATCTCAACACAGAGCCTTCTGAAACTTAAACGTGGAGTCATTATCCTTCCTTCAGGGAGTATTTAAACTAAAGAAATTTCATTGTGCCCGAGGACTGCAGGGCTGACCAGCTGTGAGTGGCTTCAGGGAAGGCAGGAGGCCAGGCTACATTCTTTTTTGCTAAAGCTGCCTCTTGTCTGACTTTCTCTGTGATCAGTAGCAAATTTATAAAATATCAACCACAGACTCATTCAACTATGAGCACAAAATAAATGCATTGCAGTGATTTTTACAGTCATCTTCACATCTGTAATTCCAGTTTTTCAGGAGCTGATTATGCTAATGAAAGTGAAATGGCTTTAAATATGCTAACTTACATGACATTTTCTAACTCCCTTACCTTCTTTTCCTTTCATGTTAATTTACATGTGTAGTTTTAGGAATTTATTTCTGAACCAACTCAGTCAATTTTGGAAAGAGCTAGAGTTTGTATCAATGAGTCACAATATAAATCCTGACCTGTAACATTAAAAATCTCATGGTTTATGGTTTATACAATGAGGACAGATTGATTAAGAACTGTACAAAGCAGAGAATTACAAAAATAATACATATGCAATCCTACATAACTATAAAATATTTTTTTGTTTTTCAATTACTGTTAACATTCTATATTATTTATATTAGCATAGTAGTTAGACAGTCATATACTTTACAAGGTGCTCTTTCCAATAGTTTCAGTACCCATGTGACATCATGTGTAGTTACTGCAATACTATTCACTATATTTCCTATATTGTATTTGATATCCCCATGACTATTGTGTAACTACAAGTCTGTACTTAATCTCTTCACCTTTTTCATTCAGTTCTGCAAATCTTCTTCCTCTGGCAACCATCAGTCTCTTCTCTGTACCTATGAATCTGTTTCAGTTTTGTTTATTTTGTTTTTTAGATTCCACATGTAAGTGAAATCATGGTAGTTATCTTGCCCGGACTTACCTTTTTCATTTAGCATAATAACCTCTGAGTGTATCCATACTGTTGCAAATGGTAATATTTCATTCTTTTTTATGGCTGAGTAACATGCCATTGAGCCATTTCTTTTTTGTCCACTCATCTACTGACAGGAATTTGTGTTTCCTTATCTTGGCTATTGTAAATAACCCTGACGTGAACATAGGGGTAAATAAATCTTTTTGAATTTGTGTTTTGGATTTCTTTGAATATATTCTGAGAAGTAGCATTGCTTTGTAGCTCTATTTTTAATTTCTTGAGGAATTTTCATACTTTTTTGTAACAGCTAAGCCCATTCACAATCTTACTAACAGTGCAAGAGTGTCCCCTTTCTCTACATTCTCATCAAAATTTGTTGTTTATTGATTTTTTGATGATAGTCTTTTTGACAGAGGTGAGGTGATATCTCATTGTGATTTAAATGTACATTTCTCTGATAATTAGTACCTTATTGTCTAGTATAACTTGTGCAGGAGAATTTAAAGATTTCCTTTTCCTGGCTAGCTATTATTCTGACCATAGCTCCAGCACTTTCCTCAAAAATTATTAATATTTCTAATTATGCATTTATTTACTATAATACCTGCTAAAGAAAAAAGTATTTTTCTAAATCTGGTAACTTCACTGGGTTTAGCATCATCAGCTACTGAATATTCTTTTTTTAAAAATTTATTTATTGTTCAAGTACAGTTTTCTGTCTTTTACACCCATCCCAGCCCACCCCCCCCAAGTGCTCCCCACCTCCCTCCAATTCTCCCCCACCTTAGTCTTTGTCCATGTGTCCTTTATACTTGTTCCTGTGAATCATTCCCCTTTTCCTCTGAAATTCTCTCCCCTCTCCCCTATGGTCCCTGTGAGCCTGTTCTGTATTTCAGTGTCTTTGGTTATATTTTGCTAGCTTGTTCGTTTTGTTGTTTAGGTCCCTGTTAAAGGTGAGATCATATGGTATTTGCCTTTCACCGCCTGGCTTATTTCACTCAGCATAATGCTTTCCAGTTCCATCCATGCTGTTGAAAAGGGTAGGAGCTCCTTCTTTCTTTCTGCTGCATAGAATTCCATTGTGTATATGTACCATAATTTTTTGATCCATTCATTTACTGATGGGCATTTAGGTTGGTTCCAGCTCTTGGCTATTGTAAATTGTGCTGCTATGAACATTGTGGTGCATAGGTTCTTTTGGATTGGTGTTTTAGAGTTCTTAGGATATAATCCCAGCAGTGGAATTGCTGGATCAAAAGGCAGGTCTATTTTTAGTTTTCTTAGAAATTCCATACCGTTTTCCATAATGGTTGTACCAGTCTGCAATCCCACCAACAGTGAACTAGGGACCCGTTTTCCCCACAACCTCTCCAACACTTGTTGTTTGTTGCTTTGTTTATGATAGCCATTCTGACCGGTGTGAGATGGTATCTCATTGTGGTCTTAATTTGCACCTCTCTGTTAGCTAATGCTATTGAGCATCTTTTCATGTGTCTCTGGATCCTCTGTATGTCCTCCTTGGAGAAGTGTCTGTTCAAGTCCTTTTCCCATTCTTTAATTGGGTTGCTTGTCTTCTTAGAATGGAGTCATGTAAGTTCTTTGTATATTTTGGAGATTAAACCCTTGTCTGAGGTATCATTGGCAAATATGTTTTCCCATACAGTTGGTTCTCTTTTTATCTTAATACTGTTTTCTTTAGCCATGCAGAAGCTTTTAATTTTGATGAGATCCCATGTGTTTATTCTTTTCTTAATGTCCCTTGCTCTAGGGGACATATCAGTAAAAACATTGCTAAGTGAAATATCTGAGATTTTTCTGCCTCTGTTCTCCCCTAGGACTTTAATGGTGTCACAGCTAATATTTAAGTCTTTATCCACCTTGAATTTATTTTGGTGTATGGTGTAAGTTGGTGCTCAAGTTTCATTTTTTTGCACATAGCTGTCCAATTCTCCCAACACCATTTGTTAAAGAGGCTATCTTTACTCCATTTTATGTTGCTGCCCCCTTTGTCAAATATTAATTGCCCACTGTAGAGAGTTGGGTTGATTTCTGGGCTCTCTGTTCTGTTCCATTGGTCTATGTGCCTGTTTTTATGCTAGTACCAGGCTGTTCTGATTACAGTGGCCTTGTAATACAGTTTGATATCAGATATTGTGATCTTTCCTACTTTGTTCTTCTTTCTCAATATTGCAGCTGCTATTCGGGGTCGTTTATGGTTCCATATAAGTTTTTGAAGTGTTTGTTCTATGTCTGTGAAATATGCCATTGGTACTTTAATAGGTATTGCATTGAATCTGTAAATTGCTTTGGGTAGTATGGACATTTTGATGATGTTAATTCTTCCAATCCATGAACACGGTATATGTTTCTATTTTTTTGTGTCTTCCTTGATTTTTTTTCTTCAGTGTTGTGTAGTTTTCTGCATATAGGTCTTTTACCTCCTTGGTTAGGTTTATTCCCAGATATTTTATTTTTCTTTTGGTATATCGAATGAGATTTTTTCTTGATTTCTGCTTCTGCTGTTTTATTGTTGGTATACAAAAATGCCTTGGATTTCTGGATATTGACTTTGTATCCCACTGTTTTGCCAAATTCATTTATTAGGTCAAGCAGTTTTAGAGTAAAATCTATAGGTTTTTCCATGTACACTGTCATGTCACCTGCAAACAATGACAGTTTTGTTTCCTCCTTTCTGATTTGGATGCCTTTTATTTCCTTTTTTGTCTAATCACTGTGGCTAAAACTTCCACTACTATATTGAATAGAAGTGGTGAAAGTGGACAACCTTGTCTTGTTCCTGATCTTAGTGGAAAAGATTTTGGTTTTTGCCCATTGAGTATGATGTTGGCTGTAGGTCTCTCATATATGGCCTTTATTATATTGAGGAATGCTCCCTCTATTCCCACTTTGCTGAGTGTTTTTATCATAAATGGGTGTTGTACCTTATCAAAAGCTTTTTTCGAATCTATTGATATGATCATGAGATTTTTGTCTTTGCTTTTGTTTATGTGATATATTACATTTACTGATTTGCAAATATTGAACTTTCATATACCTTCAATAATTCTTATATACCTTCAGTTTTTGCCTTATCTTATCCTTATTTTGAAACAATTATTTGATTTTAGGAATAAATTAACTCTTCTCTTTCTTCACCAAATGAGCCAACAAAAAACACCCAGGTACTTTATGCATTTTCTCATCTAGAAAACCCATTCTGTTTTTCTTTCTCTCAACAAAAATGTGTCTCCACACTTTATATTTTCTTCTACTAAAAACATACATTCTATATTCCATATATATTCATTTTGTTTTATTCTCATTATTTTCTAGCAGTTTAATAAAATATAAAACCTTAGCTCTTTTAAAAATTAATTTTGGCAAATGAACTTAATTAACACTCCGCTTTTTAAAAAGGCCTCTTTTTCCCTTCAGTCTCTGTGGGCAATGTTTTGGTTAGCTCTTAGATATTTACATGTCAAAGTCACAAAAATATTATATTCAGTGGCATACTTTAAGTAGCAAAAAACCAGAACAATATGCAGAAATTCATGCCAAGACTTTCATCTCAAATGAGCAACGGTCTTTACCATGAGCAACACCTGGTCTGTCACAGGAAAGCTATATGAGACAAGTTTTTGTACTTAGCTTTTGGTTCACTTCTGTAAGATCAGCTAGATACTTTGTATTCTCCTCAAGGACCTCAGGGTATGGGGGGGTGAGGGAGTCACAAACCACGTAACCCATTTGTGTGGCGTCCAGAGCAACACAATCAGAGATTGTTGTGAATGCATGTTCATGGCACAGTCTTTCCTATTAGTCAGCAGCCTCAGTCCCCACCCAGACCATCTGATCTGTGCCTCAAGAATGAAAGCTCTGAGCTGCTTGTATGACTACATGTGACATGCCACTTAGAAATGACAGGGAGCCATCATAGGTAACAATGTTATTGACTCATATTTTATTAATGCAAGTGCACTCAGTTTCTATTAATGCAGATTTAATCTAAATCAATACTAACCTAAAAGCAATACTAATCACTCAGAATACAATCAGTAATAGTGAACCCAAGTCCGAGAGTCTGAGTCAGCAGGTTTAGGAGACAGCACGGTAAGCAAGGGAGCTGTCAGCATTTTGCAAGGAACAATCTCCAGAGCCAGGTGGGCAGCAAGGCAGACAAAGTTCTTAGTCCAGCAGAGCAGAGCCTCCAGTGGCTGATGCCAGGGGAGATCAGCATGGCTTGGAGCAGCACTCTGGTGTGTGGAGCCCAGCTGTCTCAGCAGTGGCCTGGAGCCTGCCTCAGTTATACCTAGAAAGTGGTATACACCACCCTTCTAGGTCTCTTGATAAGTATCTTGGAACCCATGAAAGCAAGTGGTAACTTGTCCTCAGGAACCTATCTATAGTTGGCCTTGTTCTGCAGACACAACTATTCTTGTTATGTGTGCAGATATCTTGGGTGTATCTCCTTGCTAGATATGTCTAGTATGACTTAGATGCTTTCCTTCTTAAACCAAAGCATCATAGCTGACCGGCATTCATATTGGTTGACATGAGTGACTCCATCCTGTTTTACATATTTAATGCTCTCTTGACTGGACCAATGTTATTTTATTAGTCCTGCTCTCCACAGAGATGCAGGAAGGATTTCTCCTAGAAGGTGATGTTAGCTACAAAAAGGTGTGCCAACTATCTGTGAAAGACTGTCATCTGAGAGAGGGCAGACAGAAGTCAATCAGTATTTTAAATACATACTCCCTGGCTGATGAGGCATAGTAGATTGAGTGCTACCCTGTAAAGCAGGGGGTCACTGGTTCAATTGCCAGCCGGGGCACATGCCCGGATTGGGAGCCACATCCCCAGTGTGGGGGTACATGGCAGGCAGCCACCCATTGTTGTTTCTTTCAGTCTCTCTTTCCCCTCCCCTCTCTCTAAAAGTAAACAAATAAACTATTTTTAAAAATAGAGAGAGGAAAAACTTGTCACCTGGCCCAGTGTGATAAGCTTGAGAAACTAAAAGCCATCTATCATGCTGGCTTATTGAGTATGTGGCATGGAGGCGTCTATTCCTAGCATTAGCATTAGGCTCATTGTACTCCAAAGTTAGTAAGATTTATGGGAATGTCAAAAGTTCAAAAAATAACAGAAGTTAAATCGATGAATCACCAAAGTAGTGATTAGTAAAAGTTGATGTGCATACACCAAAAAAAATCAGTCTGTGAACCAGGAACACTCAAATCAAAATAGGGAATGAAGCTTAAGGGTATAATACAAAGAAGGTTATACAGTGAGAAAGTGATGACTTAACTCTTTGCAGTAATTGGTTATAATATTAGAATTTCCAGTGGCTACTTTTTATAAACCTTGGGAAACAGTTCTTTTACTTATGATTTCCAGAGAGATAAACAAGAAAAGACCCAGGCCGAGTTACTCTTGCAAAATAATCTAAATGAAGCTTTGCTTGCATGACTAAATTGCTCTTCTGTCTAGAGAATTTTCAAAGTTGGTCTCCTTTTAAAAAAATTATTTTAAGAAACTGTCACTTTTCTCCCAAGTGCAGTTTTATGTAGGGCCTTGCTAGATAAAGGAGATAATAACAGTTTTGAAAGAATAAGGAGGAACAGTGTTGGGCCTCTTGGCTTCTACTCTCCTCACTTTAGTTCTCCTGGACCCAAAGACCCACAGCCTTTGTAAAAAGCATCTGTGAAATGCACAGCCTTCCTACTTCCTTTAGTACCAAGAGCTGTAGGAAACTTTTTGGGGAGTGCAAGGTTCAAAAGTATTTTCTTTTCAGACTTGTTTTATAGATGAAAGTAAATTAATTGCTTTTTAGAATATATGTTTATATTTGCTCTAAAAATTATACTACTTCTTTTTATTCTTTCTAAAACGTATAATGAGCAGAATATGAAGATTAAATATCCATTGAATAGTGAACATAAATTTTCAAAGAGGAGAGAGGCCACTTTAAAAGCTATTTTGACCCTGGCTGGTGTAGCTCAGTGGATTGAGCATGGGCATGCAAACCAAAAGATCTCAGATCGATTCCCCATCAGGGCACATGCCTGGGTTGTAAGCCAGTTCCCAGCAGGGGCCAGTTCCCAGCAGGGGATGCACCAGAAGCAACCATACATTGATATTTCTCTCCTTCCCTTCCCTTCTAAAGATAAATAAATAAATAATAAATAAAAATAAAAGCTATTTTGAATCCTGTTTTGAAAATATAATATACATATTTCTGTGGATATGGTTAACTTCCCTTCTTGAGTAAGTGCCAGTTTACTTATAACCTATCATCACAGGCTGCCTCAGCTTTTTTAAAGAATGGTTTGCAATTCACCAATTGTGTAATTTCTACTCAGTATATACACCTTTCTTATAGATGCTTCTTTGATAATATAACTTAAAAATCCCTGGTCTCTCCCTCTTTCACTTTTAGGAACCACAGAGTCATATTCAGCAATGATGTCTTCTCAACAACCTGTACCACCTCTCTGTCATTCTGTCATCTGAGTAAGGCCGGCCACTTTTCTCAGAGGCTGGCCTTCCTTACTCAGGATTCATAACTTTCATTCTTCTAAATGTCTCTCAACTTTCATGTTCAAACCTACCTCAAAGGATGTTAAATCAACATTCTCCTTCACCTTTATTGAATAGTCAGTATGTGCAGAAACCACTCACTTGCTATGAAACAGTGATTCTTAATCATTTTTATAAGACCATTTTAGAAATCTGATAGAAGCTATAAAACTTATTTTGCATAAAAGCAAAACAACTACACACTTATGATTCTGCATGTGCTTTCAGAGGAGTCATACATTCCTGGAAGGCATCCATGGACATTCTTCTCTCACTGACTTAACAAATATGTATCTTATACACCCTTTTTCACAGGATTCACCCAACCACATGAAATAGGTGCTTCTCCAAATTTATTAACCAAACAAAGCAGGCCCCAAGTTTGAAACTACCATTTTTCTTATGCCTTCAACCATCCTTGTCTTCTATAACTTTTGGAGGGAACGATTTTGTGCTTTTTCCTACAGAAGGAAACTGGACTGTATTAATAACAACCAGGCCTCCAGAGGACTAGTATACTCTTTCTACCTCATATATCTTCTTCTTTTTGTTCAGGATTTATTTTCCTTTCTCCCTAAACTCTCATGTCTGCTTTTTTACGCAAATGGCACACTAAAGTTGCTCTC